AGGTTCTTCGTCATCTTCATTGAAACCGCTATGTGATAATGAGCAATGCAATGGGAATCGTGTAAATGTTTCAAATTTGACGTTCTTCATCGTCTTCATTGAAACCGCTATATGATAATGAGCAATGCGTTGGGAATCATGTAAATGTTTCAAATTTGACGTTCTTCATTGTCTTCATTGAAACCGCTATGTGATAATGAGCAATGCGTTGGGAATCGTGTAAACGTTTCAAATTTGGCATTCTTCATCGCCTTCATTGAAACCGCTATATGATAATGAGCAATGCGTTGGGAATCATGTAAATGTTTCAAATTTGGCGTTCTTCATCGTCTTCATTGAAACCGCTATATGATAATGAGCAATGTGTTGGGAATCGTGTAAATGTTTCTGAAGATCAGACTGATGCATCATGTTTTAGTGAATCCATGTCATGTGACATTGATTGAGAGACCGGTTCATGTTTTTCACATTTATTCAACGAAATCTCAACTTTTACGTTATTCATTGTAATAAATACAACATTGAATTACTGCTGTGATATTCAGTCATTTCACTTTGGTATGATATAATCAACCCGTAAGTTGAAGAAAATATGATTTTACCGAAGTTTGGCTGCAACTTTTTACTACAGCGAGATGAAAATAATACTTTTTGTTTGGAAGCCTATGTACAATGTGCTTGGGCCTTGGGTTTATGCATTCAGTCACACCTCCAAATAATTATCCTATAAAAGTATTGCATTATATGAACTTTTACTTGTATTATTGCTGTAAGCACAAATATCTGACATTATTGTCAATCTTCACAATATATTCAGTGAATTTTATAAAGGCATAAATATTTGTAGAGAAATTTATAAAATTGTTAGTGCTTCATTCAAATCTAAACAGTACCATTTGGTGATGCCCATTTCCCATGAGTCTTTGCAGGGTTTTCTTCAAACATTGGTCAATTTACCGCCATGCATCCGTTAACGTGCTATGATTGGTCAAGTTGTTTTAAACTCTCATTTGATATTTCATACAAAACAAACTTTCATATTTTCCTGCAATTCATTGTTTTCTCTGTTGATCTTATTGTTTGTATTCATTGTGTTATATCATTGAAGCACCAAGGAAATGATAGTGTATTTTGCCACAATAATGGTCCTATGTGAATTTAGTACGCATCCAGGCATAGTTAAATACATGCAGATGTTGGCCTTCACCAAATTTAATGTGTTAATCTTGCCCTTGCCATTGAGTCTAGTAAACACAGTCGGTCTATTCACAATCCCTGTTTGTGTTCAACACCAGGTAGGATTTGAATCAGAAACAAACATGGTATGGATCTAGTAAAGTACATATTACTTCTTCATTATGAAAAAATAGAATAATGTAAAAGTACCCTATTCAGTGTGAACTTGTTCTACTCTATCTGCATCATCGACTGTTGGTAGATAAAATATACATTAACCTTTTATGGTGTAGATAAATTTAAAGACATTTCCCGAGCCTTGCTTGCTCCGTTAATTGCCAAGTACTCCATCTTTAGTGCTTTTAGTATGCAAATCTCCCACACATCATTCCCCGATGGAGCTTATGCATTTGCATAGAGATCAAGTATGTTCACAGTCTTGCATCGTTGCATATCTACAATACACAGACACTCCATGTGCCCGTTGATGCTGCCGCTGCAGTGTTTGTACTATGCACACACTTTCTCATGACCTCTTGCAAGCATAGTTCAAATCTCACAGTTATATTTATTGATAATGACTGCTACTTTCATACTTGGGTTAATTCTGTATTTGATTTCATAAAAAAAAACATGCTTAATTCATGGATATTGAAGTGAAGCAATCCCTGGAAATCTAAAGTTATTACTCTGGGCCATGTTCTCAGAAGATGCATCTTTCACATTTCCCCCTCCTGAGTAAACATGCCAAGGTTGTCATTTCTATGCGTCATTTGAATGTAACAGTCGAATGCGATCAAAAGTTGTGGGTTTTTGACACATGATGTACTTGCACTGATGAGAGTAAGAATTGATATAGTTTTGGGGTTGGGTCTTTCATGTCTTGTACAAGTTGTCATCTCTAATTATTCAGTCTTTTTTTTTGTTCACAGCTTGCTGGAATGATGGATGAGAATATTGGCGCCAAATTTGATAACATCGGAGTGAATGCCATGGCAAACAAAGATAAAGCAGGTGAGTAGTGGTCTTCCCCTCTCAATAGATCAGAACATATATGTATCCATATTTTGTAACAACAACCCCCCCTTATATTAACTGCATATGTCAAACACAATTGCCTCCGTGCCACCATCCCATGGTTCTGTTCGTTGATCCATTCTGAATTACCACTAGCATTGATAAGCCCAGTGTTCCTGTGCCAGCTTTGAAACAATGTTATGATGCCATTTTGTGTTTCAACAATGACTTAATTTTCTGTCCAAGCAATTTCTGTTCAATTTGCAAAGTGTATCCATTTTTACGTCAAAATAATGTTTAAAAGAATTATCCCTAAAATCAAGCTCCACTCCTATACCTATTCACCTATTTGGTTTTCGCTTTAGATTGAATCACATATGATAAAATAAAATTTAAAAAAATAAAACTGAGTAATTTTTTATTTTCAAAAAAACATGTATTTATAAAAAATTAGGTCAATTTGGTCTAAACAAGAAATTTTGAAAAAAAATAAATCAAAATGTTCAAGATGTGGCACCAACATTTTAGCAACAGAATTAAATGATCACAAAAATCTTGTTTGAAATAACGAAATAATTTTCTCAGATTCTATGTTATACTTTACCCATAATCCTTTGCTTGAGAATCAAGATGGCTGACTACATAATTCTGATGAAAAGTTGAATTTCTAGAGAATGAAAAGTGATATAAAAAAAAAAACTGTAAATTGCATTCTCTTACATTTGTGGAGCTTTTTCTTGGCATTATGTTGGTTGGCTTGACTTTTCCTCTAACTTGGTTGTTCAAGTGTGCTACCTGAAACGCCACTGCTGTAACTCATTGTCAATCTCTGTTTTTATTTTGTTTAGCCGAAAAGCAACTCAAGTGGGAAATGGAACGAGATCTTTGGGTCAGAGGTGTGGATTACAAGACGAAACGAAAAAGAGGATTTAAGTCGAAAGGAAAATTTGGAAATCAATCCCAGAATAAGAAGAAATTTAAACGGAAATAATTATGTCAATGATTTTTTTGTGAATAAATTATAAGTTGATATTTTAATTTATCACAATAACTGGTCTAGTGGTTTTCCTGGTTGTTTTATTCTGAAATAAGTCTCAAAAATCTGTTAGCCTATGCACTCTTGATTTTATACATGTGATCTTAATAAAAAATCGAGTCAATAAAACTTGTTATTTTATTTGACAGTTCAAATCCAAGATGGCTGACTGTCGGCCATTTTGTTTTCAAGAACACCCATATGCAGTTTGTTGTATGTATGATCTAGACCGACCAATTAGATTGAATTTTCTCACCTTGACAGGAAATTATAGGTTGTGCGTTTTTGTGACAGTTTACAATCTGATCAATGCCCGACTGGTTTTAGCATCCCTCTTTATGTTCATCACTTTACGTCCTCAAGGTCATTCAGTAAAGCAGAACGAAAACTGCTTGGTTTCTGTTCATTAGAAGATGCTGTAAACTGTCAGTTTCGGAAACAAATTTAACTTATCCCTCAGGGCCAGGCTAATCCACAGCCACTCGACACAAATGTGTCTCATCAAGTATTCGTGTAGCGATCTCATAACAACGGTCAAATTAAGCTTCTTGAGATGATATATTTCCCCCGAATGCAAAGAGACTAGACAGGTGTGATGGAGCTCATTCACACCACTAATGGTATCACTAATTTTGTTGATTCTTCACTATGGCAGCTGGTATTCTTCTGTTAGATGGTCTTGGGATATTCACGATATGGCAGCAGTCTATTACAGGGGATATGATCGTTCTGATGACGTTTAGTTTGTTTTTGTTTTCATATGGCTATCTATCCATAAGATAAAAAATAACAGGATCATGAAATATATATAACCGAAATTGGGGAAGCAAACTTACCGTAGTTCTCATGAATAATGAAAAAAAGGTCTATGTCAACTTTATATTGGTTGCTATAGTGACATTTTTCCTGATATCTACAAATTTTGCTTCATTGACACAGACTGAAAAAATTGTATATTATTGATCTGTTGATACATTGTTTCAAATTGTGAATAAAATTATTTAGCAAGCAACAAAATCTATTCCCAAAAAACTACTATCGGTATT